AGGAAGAGCAAGAATGTTTTTCTCAACAGATTCTAACTCCTATCTAATGATTAGCACCAAAGCTCTGAAATAATGAAATATGAGTCCATAACTAGAGAAAGAAACAACAAAAAACATAATTCACTGCCCCCCAAAACAAACCTCACTGTAGCTGTTCTCACCCCAGTTTTGGTTGGGGCTTTTTTTAACAGAAAATTGTCCCTGACCAAGCTGGAGGAAACAGCAGCCAGCAGGGTCAGTCTGAGCACATTTCCCTGAAAATGAGAAGGGCAGGCACAAAAGTCCTTGTGCAGAAGGAGCTACAAAACAGACCAAATGCTCTGGAAGCTGAGCTGAGGAGCTACAGAACAAACACGATCCATGCTGAGCTGGATCAGGACAAGGGGAGCAGGGAAGGGGCTGACAGCCCCCACAAGCCCCCGTGGGTTGGAACCAGCCCTGATGCAGATGGTAAAATGCTTCCCCCCTGCTGGGAAAACCTCCAGCTTGGATCTGGTTGAGGAGGATATGGAAGACAGTGGAATGAATCACCTCAGAAAGATCATCCCTCACTCTGCAAAAGTGGATGGTAAATAAGGAGAAAAAAAAAAAAGTTTGTAACTTCTTACGTCAACTAGAAGTTGTTTTAATTAGCTCTATTTCACAAAGGGAAAAAAAAAAAAAAACACCAAAAAACTGAGCTACCTTTGGGGGGAAAAAAAAGGCAAGTTACTTCCCAGGAAAGGTGAAAAACTTAGACTGCAGCAAAAGCAGCTGCTGAAACAGCTAAAACACGTCCTGTTCTCATCCTTCCCCCAGCCGGGACCCAACGGCTCTGCAAGAGATGAGAAACTGAGAAGGGTGTGAAGAACTGCCACGTCCCCCCAGCTCCAGAGATGACAGCAGCCTGCTTGCCTTCATGAGGGGCTCAAACAGCCACCAGAGAACACAAGGCTGAGCCAAGCCAGGCATGGAGCTGTAGGATGCTTTAAGATCACATCCCAGGATTTCTACCCCAACTCCACTCCCTGCCTCGCAGCATGGTTTGTCTGGAAGCCCAGGGTGAGACCCGAGAGTCACGGAATTGTAACTGGCAGCAAGTTTGCTCCAAAGCATTTAATAACCAGGATAATCCTGTTCTAAAGCAATATTATGATCTCACAGATTCCCTTGAAGGCCTTGGCTGCAGCAGCCCCTGATCTGCAGGGACAGGGTCTCTCCAAGTGTCCCCATCCCACAGGGCAGGGCAACATGACAAGGACTCCACGTTCAATTTTAACAGTTGTGAAGAAGAGTGGATTCCAATTATGGATCTTGGGATACCACAGTCATAGAATGGTTTGGTTTGACCTTACAGACCATCTCATTCTACCCCTGCCATGGGCAGGGACACCTTCCACTAGCCCAGGTTGCTCCTAGCCCTGCCCAACCTGGCTTTGAACACTTCCAACACCTCTCAAAACGTCTCTTTTTCTAAAGAAACTCCTGATCTGGTGTTGTAGCAAACAGGATGTGGTAAAAGAAAACCAGCTAAGGTGGTTACGCACTCGGCTTTGAGACAGGCTGTACTTCCCCAAGAGGCTTCTGCTGTGGAGGAAGCAGCTTCTGAAGGAACAGCCGGCTGGGCTGGGCTGCCAGAGCACTCTTCTGGGTGCTTCTATGAGCTCCATGTCCTCTGACTCACCAGGACATTCTTAGAGAGCTCCAGATCGTTCTGGAGCATCACTCAGGGGGCAAACAGCAGTGCCAGCACCAAGGGATGAGAGCAGCCTGTTTGCCTTCCCCAGGGAAGAGATGCAAATAGGGGACAGATTTGTTTATGCAAATCTGATGGAGCCTCCGGGCCATTTTCATCCCTGATGAGCTTCCTGCTCTTATCCTTATCCTAAAGGTTTTGGTTTCCAAGCCAGAGCTGTCCCTGTGACTCCCTGCAGCTGCACACCTGGCAGGAAGAGAATTTGGGCCAACCTTTGGCAGTGGGACCAGGAAAGTACTGACCCTAAAACGATTTTAGGGCTCACTAAGAATAAACACTTGCAGGTGATGAGACCAGCACCATAATTAGACATATTCACATGGAAACATCCACACTGACATCACAGCCCTTGTATCAGACAGCTGATCAAAGCCTGGGTTTACATCTGAAAGGATTCTGAAAAATAGGAAAAAAAAAAAAAGAAAAAGAACAGTGGCCTGGAGCTGAGAGGAAAAATTTAGATCTGGGAAAAAANAAAAAAAAAAAAAAAAAAAAAAAAAAAAAAAAAAAAAAAAAAAAAAAAAAAAAAAAAAAAAAAAAAAAAAAAAAAAAAGAAAGAAAGAAAGAAAACAGTTCTCATCTAGAGCAGTTGCCATGGAAAGACTGGGGAGCCTGGTGCAGTTTTATAGTCGGTGTGTAAGGATAAAGCAGAGAGTGCTGGATGGCTCCTCAGCAAGATTATCACAGGAAAAACCAGGGATGATCCAGCAGAACTACTGGAGATCCAGGATGATGGAGACTCCTCCCAACACCGGCACACCCAGGTCCTGCCCCACCTGTGGTCTCACCACATCCCCCCAGCCAAAGAGACAAGGGGAGAATAAAAAGGTGATTAGAGTTTTAATTACCTCCCCACGCTTCTTCTCACAGCCCTTTGCATAACGCTTGCCTAAAACTGCAGGTACTTTACCACAAGCAATTATGCTAATGTCTGGAAACAGAGCTAATTGAGTGGCAAAGAACACGCTAGAAAACGCAATCAAATTTAAATGAACCACAGTAAAGGAAATACTGTATTTTCCAGCGTGATGCAAAGTCTGCTGTTAAAAACAGTCGTCTTTAGCTTTAATCTTTTTTTTTAATTCCATTCTAAATCCTATTTTAGCTTCAGAATTAACTGAAACTCCTGCACAGCATTCACAGAACTGCTCCTTATTTCCAGGTAATCCAGGGCAAGTCCTGCTCTGACTGTACCCAGAGAGAGCAGGAGGAAACCTCTCCTCTGTGCACAGAAACGAAAATGTTAATGAAACTGGGCTCTAAAATTCCAGGTTTAATGGCTACTACCAACATGGGGAAAGAAAGAGAAAGATCTAATCCTTCCAAGGTTCCAGTTACCTAACTGTAATTGCTGTAACTAATCAAAATAACTGCAACAGTCCTCGCTGTAACAGGTAATGAAAAGTATTCAATTACATAAATAGAAATATCCATTACATAGAAGATGGTCTGTTTGACTTCTCTTTTTATAGAGAAAAAAAAAACTAAAAAAAGGACTTCTTCATTTCACTGCACCCAAAGAGACTCAGTTGAAGTCAGACTGTGTTTGGTTGCTTAAAATTCTGCTTATTTTGCAACTGCCAGGCTACAGCAAAATATTAATGATTCAGCACAGGCATTGGAGCTGAAGCACAACTGAGGTGTCAGTACAAGCAAAATACAAGCAAACAAGGTATCTGTATTTGCATGGCAAAAGTTTTGGCCACAATAAAAAGTCATAGTTTTAAAAACAAGTACAGACCACACTCCAATTTCTGAAACACGTGAAAAATTCCCCAAGACTTCCAACAGCTCTGAGACTCATTAATGACACTCTGAGACACAGGAACACCAATTATTCTAATCTGGCAATGCCTAAAACTCCCATTCCAGTGAGCTGCACACTGCCAGGCAAGCAGGAAGGTTTTGGGGTACTTCTGCTCCAGCCAGAAGGGATGCCAGTGAAAACTCAACCAGCCCAAAGATGCCCCCTTTGCACCACTTTTCCTGGGAAAACAGGTACTTTGTTCACTACAGCCTCATTTCAGACAGGAATAAAACCACTGACCTCCTCAAGACTTCCCAGCCCATTCACCATTTCTAGGACAGGAGCAGCTGTGCTATCCCAGCCAACTCACTCCTCAAATCTGCCAAAGATCCCAAGAGCCCCTCACAAAATCCACTCCCTGCTTCATTACCCATGCTACCACTAAAATTTTATATTTTATTCATATCCAATTTTTTTTTTCATTGAAACATTAAAGCTGTAGAAAATGGACTAACCTCATCATTTCTGCAACAGCTTTTCTGGTTTTGAATCATGTTCAACCTCACTTCTCCCTTCCCATATCACACCCTATTTCAATACTTCCCTGTAGGTCAGATTTAACAGACTGTTCATTCCCACTGCTCTTTCCTGGACTTTTCCCAGCAGGTCCATGTATATTTTTTTAATCCACTGCCAGGATGGACATAACATTCTGCCAGAAGAGGATTATTTCACATGCCTCACTGGCTACAACACTGATTTTATATTTAGTTGTGTGATCCAGCTGAGCCAACACAGCTCAGGGCTGGCTGTCACAGCCAAGTCCCTGCCCCAGGGTCCCCAGGGTCCCCAGGCTGTGTCTGTGTGATTGCTCTGGCACAGGTGGAAGGAAGGACACTGCTGGATTTCCCTGCATTTCCCCCCTCCCCTGCTTTATGGAGTTTTTGTCCTTGTCACAGCAGAACACAGGGGCTCTTCACTGCAGCATTCACTGAACTGAACACTGATCTCTGATGTTCCCACTCCCCAGATCCACCTTTCCATGGAATACTGATTAACTGCTCCACCAGGCCATTTTCCCAGCACTTTCACCCAGGCTACATCCCCCTGTGCTATGAGCAAGAACACCATGTCAGAGGGTCAAGACAACATATCTGGGATCTTTTCTCCTGCTCCCTTATCAACAGGCTCATTACCTCTGCAAAGAAAAAAAAAGTTTAACTGATGTGACACATTACATTGTTGACAAGCCCATACCAAGTAATATCATTTTCTCCTCGATGTTTCCAAATAATTTAATTATTTTCCCTGTAGTTTTCCAGAACCTGAAGTTGACAGATTGCCTTGCTTCGTCTTCTTCCCTTTGACAACATTTCATCTTCTTTGTTTCACTAAGTCCTGTCCAGTGTTTTTCAATCTACAGCACTGACTTCTCGGCAGGCACCACAGAGATATGTAAAAACCAAACAGATCTTGAAAATATCTACACAAATAACATTTTATTGAGACATAACTTACCAATTTTCTGATGAAAGATCTTGTCGAAGGTTAATTCACCCCTTTCCTCGAGGTATTTCTGCATAACACTGCGGATACTGAAACAAAAAAGGGACAAAAAATAAAGAGGGATTACTTGAAATTGTTTTTTTAAAACCTTTGAAGAAAAGTCAGGTGGAGCTCTGCCTGGCCTCGGGTGAGCTGATCCCTGGGGTGACCTCCCAGGGGACACCCTGGTCACCACTTTATTCCTGCCTCAGGTTTAGCTTGCACAGTAAAATAACTGCACAAGTCACCCCGAGCTAGCCACACAAAGAGCCAACAGCAGCTCCATTAGGCCTTGCTTGGCTGCAATGCACTTAACATCTACTTTGCCTAATTTATAATGTCACAATCACTCACTGAAACTACATTAACAAAGATTTCCTTTATTTGTCAAGTAACCTCAATATTCATTGTAATATAATGACCATAAAAATTTCATATGGGCAACAATACAAGAACATAAATCTTAAAATTAATGCAGGCCAGCAGTGCTGGGCCTTGGTAAAGCTACTCTCTTGTCACGGTATCGAGCCAAAATTCCACCAGTCTTTCTCTGTTTCCGATTTTAAAATCAATAATTTCCATACATGCTATTTATTACTATAATTGCACTACTTATTATTTTAATTATACTATTTATTATTATAAAAATAACCTTGAACAAAGCACTCGTGCTCCAAACAAGTCCATTAAATATCACTCATATTTCTGCAGCAGCAAGACTGAGCAGCTAAGCCTTGCTGACCTCAGGGACGTCCCCTCTCGTGTGCTCACAGGGACCCCGTTGTTAAAATTCTGAGAAGCCTCCCAAATACTGACAAACATCTCCCCCACGGAGGGAGGAAAGTATCCACACTCCTCCTCAGAGGAGCTGAGGCACAAAGCCTGAATGACTTGACCAGAAAAAAGTCTATAATAAAGCCAAGGACTCTGCTGGAAGGCCCTAAACTCCCATGTAGGAAAATATCCTATTAATAGTTTTCTGTGTATCTCCAAGTCCCACATGGAACACGGATCTCTGAACAGTGTGATCCAAAGCGAGAGCTCTGGAGGCCAACCACCACATCAAGTCAGACAAGAACAGGGAGGGCTGAACACTGTTAATCAGGTTTGAGATGATAAATTATTCAGTGACGAACTTGCTGTTTATTTGTTCATTAAGAACTGGATCTGCCCTCTGTGTATTTTAACAATCTAAACAAAATGCTGATTTTAAATGAAGAGGGAGCAGCAAATAAGAGATCATGGAATGACAGAATGGTTTGGATTGGAAGGGATCTTTAAGAATATCTTGTTCCAGCCCCTGCCATGGGCAGGGACACCTTCCACCATCTCAGGTTGCTCCAAGCCCCATCCAACCTGGTCTTGGACACTTCCAGGGATAGGACAGCCACAGCTGCTCTGTGGCAGAGCTTCATCATCCTCTCAATTACTTCCTAAAACCCAAGTCTTTTGCCAACCAGACCTTCCTCTCTTCCCTCTGTGCTTACAGAGGAGCCACTGGAGATGAACAAACCTGGCAGGAGTTCCCAGAGCCCACAGCTCCCCCTCCTCCCCGAGCCCCTCGGTACCGTCCCGTTCCCACTGACCACCAGACCAGCAGTAACAGAATAAGCCTTTTTCATAATAATGCCATCAAGAAAGCTTTCCTCTGCTCCAATGAGTGCACTGCAAGAAATTACATCAACAGATCTTCAGTCTAGACAATGGGAGAAGATAATGAAAATTTAACGTGTGACTGAGGCGCCCAGGAAAACAGTGATTGTGTAAGGAGCAAACCTCTCCAGCACCTCCTCCTCTGCTGACATCCCGTACTTCTGCTCTGATGGATAACGTCAAAGGAACAAAATGTCTTTTGCAGCCACAGAAACTGAACAAATCTGTAAAATGATCGCAGGCTACAGGAGTCCGCGCTACATTCCAGCTCCTCAACACTTGCACTCCTTTAAAATCATTGCTACTTATCCAAATAAATAAATAGGAATAAATGAAATTGAGTGGATTATGACTATCCAGAATAATAATCTCCTAATTCTCACAGGGAAGTTCCAGGTAGAAATCCTCTGGAGTTCAAAGAATTGAGGCATGGGCAGAGTCCATGTATCCTTCAGAAGGATGGAAAATTTTAAAATGGAGCTTAGCACATTCCACTATCAGGAAGAAAGGTTCCCTCTCTGCTTTAGTCTATTGACTCATTAGTTGCCCTACACGTAAACAATCTGGGATTAAAAGCTGCATTTCACAGAAACACAGCCATTTCTGAAAAGCTTTCCCTGGCCAGAGATGCCATCAGCACAAACCACGCACTAATGCAAGAAGTGGCCGTTTCTGTACGAGTTCATCTCAGTTCACAGCATGATCCACCTTAATAGCAGCACTCACAAGGAGCAGAAACAAAAGTTGGCTAAAAACAAAACCCAGGGAGACTTCAGAAACAAAAGCACATCCAACTGGATTGCAGCAAAAACCTTTTGTTCATGTATTCTTTTCATTTCAAAGAGGAAGAAAACAGCAAAAACCAAAAAATTCAGAAACAATCCATTTACTACCCACATACCACAAGTCAACCGAAGTATGTTTAGAAGAAGTCAAAGTCAGGCCTAAAATTTGGTGAGAAATGCAGCTTGGATCCTAGGTACCTCTTTCTGGACATCTTTATCTTCACTGGAAGGGTGGTCAAGCATTGGAAGAGACTGCCCAGGTAAAGTCTGCATCCCTGGAAGTGTCCAAGGAACATCTGGACATGGCACTCAGTGCTCTGGGCTGGTGACAAGGTGGAAACCAGGCACAGCTTGGACTCGATGGTCCTGGAGGGCTTTTCCAACCTCATTGATTGTGGGATTCTGTAATTGCTGGTTTAACTGGGAGCACAGGGAAGCCCTTTGCCACTGGCCCCAGGGAGATGCCCAGCAGTGCCTGGGCATGGACAGCTGGGTGCTCTTGCATTTCTGAGAGCCCCTGGGTGAAGCTGCTCCCAAAGGAGCTGAACAAACACCCCAGGCCTGCAGAGCAGGTTGAAGCACACTGCCAGCCCCAAGCAGACAGAAGATGACTTATCTGCATCCTTATCAAACCATAAACTCTGCGAGCAGCACAGGTCGCTCTAACCTGGTCAGCTCCTCCACCTGCCCAGAAAAGGGATTTATTTCAAGCATGAGCTGAACAGTCTGTTGAAAGGAGCTTCAAGATGCATCTTGGAGCTCTAGTTATTCCAGCCTTGATCAAAGAAACCTGCTGAAAAGCAGCCTTCAAGGTTAAACTCCATTCTGGAATTAAATAGCTCTCCCTGTCTATGAGCAGCCTGGCACAGGCAGCAGCAGCCGCAGTGCCAAGGTCGGCACAGGAGGAAAACGTCTACTTGAAAACACGTCTGAAGAGCTCCGGAGAAAACACATCATGTCCTTTCTAACACAGAAAAGGCCATGTAAGGCAAGAGCATCTACAATCCTCCTGCTCAGACGAGTTCCAGCAGGAGCAGCAAAGCAGAAGGAGCCTTGGAGAGGAGCTCAGCCAAAGCCAGGACTTGTCCTTGGCTGCAGCACTGGACAACAACAGCCACTCCTGCTGTTCCCCCGGAACAGAGCAGTGACAGCCTGGGACTCCAAGGAGAAGCATGCCAAGCAGGAGAAATCAAACTTCTGCTGGTGTCTGAGTGTGTGTGTGCCCAAGGATGGACACTGGAACTGAGGAACTGACCATAGGGCAGCCAGAGCACAACCTCAATGGATGTGGGAATATGCCCAAACCAGGATTTAGAGAGGAGAGGAAAACAATCAGCACTCGTTCTGATAATTCTGAGAAAGATGGAGAGGGAATTCTTCCAAGAGCATGTAGCAACAGGACAAGGGGGAATGATTTTAAACTGGCAAAGAGGAGGTTTAAATTAGATATTAGGAAATATTTCTTCTCTGTGAGAGTGGCGAGGCCCTGGCAGAGGGTGCCCAAGAAGCAGGGGCTTCCCCATCCCTGGAAGTGTCCCAGGCCACGTTGAACAGGGCTTGGAGCAACCTGGGATAGTGGAAGGTGTCCCGGCTCATGGCAAGGGGTGGAACTGGATGGACTTTAAAGTCCTTTCCACCCAAACTATTCCATGATTGTATAAAAGTTCTGCTATTCATTTCATGCAGATTTTGTCCATGAAGTTCTTCTGAAAGTAACTCACACCTCAGAAAAGGAAAGGGCACAGAATAAGGCAATGGGGAGCATCCATATGTACAATACTCCTACTACTGGAATTAGGTCAAGAAGCTCCTTACTACTGGCCTTCCTACTACTGGATCTTAAAGGAGCTTTGAATTATTTATCATCAAGAGCAGATGATTTTTTCTTGTAAATCAATAAGATTTCGGATTTGTGGGATGCTATCTGGTGTACACCACAGCTTGGTAAAGCAACAGCCAGCATTGAAGAACCACACCTGCATTAAAAATGAGCAGTTCCAGTCATTAATATATTCTCCAATAGGCTGAAACGGAAACAGAAGAACAGAAAATAAAAATAAGAATGAAACAGCAGCTTCACAGAGACTGAGAAGAGCTTAGTTCAGGATTTAACTCTACCAACATTTCCTGTATCATCAAGAGCAGGTCACAAACTTCATCTGCTCAGATCTCTAGTCTGTAAAATAAAGCTGGATTTATTTCTTCCCTCCTCTTTGTCATTAGAACAGGTACCATCCCTCTGCCACATGTGGCTCCTGAATCTAACAGCACACTAAGTTCCTGATGCCTCCTGGCATGTCCAAATTAATAATTATTTCAAGAAAATGCTGATATTCATCAACTCCATGGCCAGTGCTTTGACTGCCAAGGTTTAGCAGTGCCTGTCCACTCTCTGCACTCCCAACATCTCATCTCCACATCACAGCCACCTTCATTTATTCCTGTGTCAGGGATAATAAACACTGAACACTCACAAACCACTGAACCCATTTCATTCTGCTTCCTCTCAGACTGCACTCAGCTCAAAGTTCAGCAGAAGTCAATACTTCTCCAAATGACTGGGCTCTCAGTGCTGTAAAAGCTGCTGCACACGTGGTCACTGTGGTTCCAGC